CATAGGAACAGATTTAAGAGCAGCTTCTTTCCTGCTCCTATCAGACTTAAGAATGGTCCTCTCATAGAGTTGATCTTTCTCTGCTCCTTATCTGTAGCTAGAACACTATATTCTACATTCTGCTCTGTTATCCTGATGTACTTACATAAGGCATGATTTGTCTGGTCAACATGCAAAAACGATACTTTTCATTGCATTTCAGTACACGTGACAATAATAAATCAAATCAAAACAGCCCAGTTGATCAGCATCCCATCCACCTCATCAAAACATTCTTTCCTTCCACCATCAACACTCAGTTGTACCTTGTGCAAGATTCACTAAGGCTGCTTAGACAGAGCTTTCCAAATATGTAACCTGTACAACTAGGAAGGGCAACAAAGGTACATGGAAGCAGTACCATTTGCTTCCACACTATCCTGATTTGGAACTATATTGCCGTGCCTTCGCTGTCTCTGGATCAAAAGCCTCAGACTTGCCTCCAAATAGCACTTTGGACACACCTCTATCAGATAAACTATAACACTTTAAGAAAGCAGCTTATTACCACCTTCTCTGGGGCAGTTAGGGATGGGCATTAAATCCTGGGGTAAGCAGCGATGCCCAAATCCCAGGAAGTGATGTTTAAAAGGCAATTCAGACATCAATGCCAGGAGTAGATTTTCATAATAATAACCCAAGTGTAAGCATGAGCCCAGAGGTGAAAACCAGCCCTTGATGGGTAAGTAAAAAGTAATCTTACTTTGATAGTTCCCAAAACTGACTCATATAGGAGCCAGAAAAAAGCGACGTTAGTGATCTAAAAGATTCTTTTGAGAAATTTGGGCTAAACCATAACGTCTGTTCTGTTTGGAAAACTTTTAGCCCGCAGCTTGCTCTGATGGAAGTGTGGTGCAGTTATTTTAGTCAGTCTGCAAAGATATGTTTTCATGCAGATGTCCAGGGTAGGTAGGACTTGAACCTTCTACTCCACAGGTAGGAACACCACCACTGCACCACAAGATCTGACAAATAAGCATGGTACAATCATTCTGGATAATGTGGCTGTCGTGGTTGAACAATGTGTTAATGTGTGTGAGTGAGTCAGATGAAGCTGTGATTGTGAGGGATGGCTCATGGTCGAAAAGAGAAGGTTGTGAAGGGAATGGTGAGGCAGGTAAATTGAGCAGCATGTGGGGCTAGTGGGTCATTTCTAAGGATATAACATTTAAATTTACTTTCACTGATTTTGACCACTTGGGTAAGATCATTGAGTTTCTTGCAACATCCAGTTTCTTTGGACTTCAGTGCAGGTACTGACCACAATGACTATCCACTCCAACCGCCTTTGCCGTGTCACTCTGGAAAGTGGATCCCTCTGAGCTCCTGTTCTTGTTCTTGGAGCACACTGATTACACTTTTGTGCCATTATTCAGTGTTCTTCCTGCTTGGATATATTTTTAGTCAACCTGTTCAGAGACGTTACAATACACCTTTGGAGCAGGTGCAGCTTGAATCTGGGCCTCCTGGCTCAGAAGTAGACACATTACCACTGCACTACAAATATTCTCCAAAAGCCTATTCTCAGGTCCTCTCTAATTCAAGTACTAACCAGGTCTGAGGCTGACTTAGCTGCTGAGATCAGGCAAGATTGGGTGCTTTCACACTAGTTTGGCCTCAGGCAAAAATGCAATAGACAACTTGCACAACAATTGACAGTTAAAGAGACCTGACACATTTATACGCTGTCTTGGTGGCTTGAACCTTTAAAAGGGCTGACACGTTTATAAAAACCAAAAGAACTGCGGATGCTGTAAATCAGGAGCAAAAACAGAAGTTGCTGGAAAAGCTCAGCAGGTCTGGCAGGATCTGTGAAGAGAAAATCAGAGTTAACATGGACCGGACCCGAAACGTTAACTCTGATTTTCTCTTCACAGACCTGCTGAGCTTTTCCAGCAACTTCTGTTTTTGTTCCTGACACACTTATACCCCATTCCTGCAGCTCGAACCTTAAAGGGCTGACACTCTTCTCAACCACTGTCAGCACCCACTACAGCCAGTTGGGCAGTTGGCTTTAAGTCATACAGAAGGTGTTTTCTCTCAGTCATGGGTGCTTTTTGCACTGGGGGCAATGAGCATGGGTTAATCATGCCAGTGAGATTCCCACACCCATTTTAGTGTTCTGTTGAGTTTTATGTCACAATGTTATTTCCAAACATGGCAGCATCTAGACACTTCAAGTCACAACCACATAGAATCCCTGCTCAATTGCTACTGAGCTGAAATATTGCTGTTTTCCAAATAGAAACAATATAGAAACTATGAGCAAGAGTAGGCCATTCAGCCCTGTAGTCTGCTCCACCTTTCAATATTGTAATGATTGTAACGAGGTCAGCCAGCTGGGCCTCATAAAATATGAGCCCCCGATTGGGGCTGTTAATCTGGTCCAATCAGGGAGCCCTGGCTAACATAAAGGGGTGAATGTCAGTGATATTGGGCCTCCCGAATGCTGATTCAGTAAGAGGCAGTGCTATTGGCAAAGGCAATCCATTTGTAAATAAAGGATGATTGGTGATGGGAAGCCAGTCTCTGAAGAGTTATTTCAAATATGATCATGGCTGAGTCTCTATTGGAGCGCCGTTTTCCCATTTTCTCCCCATATATCTTCATGCCTTTGAAATCTAAAAAAAAATCTATCTCTTTATTAAATGTACTTAGTGAGCTGGGCTCCACAACCTTCAATGGTAGAGAATTTCACAGGTCGACTAACCTTTTCATTCATTTTAATTTTATGAGCAGTGATAAATTAAGTCATTAAAAAGGAGTTTTGTTCAGAATTGTCAAATTTCGATCACATCGCTTAACCCATATGAATAAACATAATGCACATTGCTCCAACCAGGAAACACAGAAAGAGATTAACAGCAGATTACAGAGCAAACCATGTTGCAGTATTCCAATCAAGAAATGTATTAAGTTAAAATGTGCAACTTTTTAGCTGAACAGTATAAATTCTGCAAAGCAGTATTGTCAAAATGCCTGGACTATAAAGTAATGTAAGGTCCAAATTAATTTATGAGGTGCACAACCACGTGAATAAATTCAGTTTTGTGTATCACAGCAGAATGAAAGTAATCCTTAATAAGGGAAGGTTGTCAATTCTCAAAGACAGTAGCACAGATCATTTTCCTCACTAATCAAGAATAAAATGCTGACAGTTGCTTCAATACAAAATTGGGCTGCTCTTAGAACCTTGAGCTGAGACAGCAATCAATTCTATTGAGAGTTCTGAAGTTGGTTGGTTTGAATCTTCATTTTGCAAATGTTCTGAAAGGTAAATGCAAAACTGTTTATAGCTTCCTCTATAATTTGTGTGCATTATATCTAGCAATGTCACATGAAGATTTATAATGTTCCTTAGCTGTAATTATTTGGAATAAATATTTATTTGTTCACTATTTACTGAAATGGTGTAATGTACAAAAAAATACAATTGGGCCATAGAATTCCATGTGGATTCTCCCTGTCTCACACTGTTTTCAGTCATGTTGATTTTTGCAGCTGGAAAATAGTGAACATTTCCAGACAATCAGGCCCATTCAGTTCAATTTCTGCTCATAGTGAATTAACACATATTCCTTCCTTCATGCCTGAAAAGGAGTCATTTTTTCCCCTTAGATACGCATAATTTCAGAGGAAGACAATTAAAATTATTACAATAATTAGAAGGGTGGTATTGAGACTTTTAAAATTAGCACATTTAAACTTCCAAAGAGAATAGATTCTAGGGGTTCACCTGCGCCAACCTTGACAGGACCATTCACATAACATTTTTCTGAATTGTAACAGGCAATAAATTCTACCAGTAACATACCAATCAGGGTAGAACCCACCGCATACTATGGAATTATAAATGGACCCATTAATCCTTTTGATTAATTAGTAAGTAGTAAGGGCGTGGAATGCCCTGCCTGCAAAAGTAGTAGACTCGCCAACTTTAAGGGCATTTAAATGGTCATTGGATAAACATATGGATGATAATGGAATAGTTTAGGTTAGATGGGCTTCAGATTGGTTTCACAGGTCAGTGCAACATCAAGGGCCGAAGGGCCTGTACTGCGCTGTAATGTTCTATGTTCTATGTTCTATGACTGGATGTAAAATGTCCTTTCTCTCCAAAAAGGTCCCACTCTGCCATATTTTTGTTTTGGCCAGTTGGTTTGGAATGGGTTTGGGCCACTAGGCAGCATGGTGACTCGGTGGTTAGCACTGCTGCCTCACAGTACCAGGGACCCAGGTTCGAATCCACCCTCAGGCAACTGTCTGTGTTGAGTTTGCACGTTCTTCCCATGTATGCATGGGTTTCCTCTGGATGTTCCAGTTTCTTCCCACAGTCCAAAGATGTGCAGCCTAGGTGGATTGGCCATGCTAAATTGTCCATAGTGCTCAGGGATGAATAGATTAGGTGGGTTATAGGGGGATGGGTCTGCGTGTGATGCTGTCAGGGTCGGTGTGGACTTGTTGGGCCGAAGGGCCTGTTTTCACACTGTAGGGATTCTATGAACTGGCACGTGGATGGGCAACTCTTAAAACTGTTAACCAGCTGTCACTTTTCAGTACAACATAGTTCTTCGTCTTAGGAGGGCAAGATATCAAATCGGTATTATGCACCAGAAACCCATTCCTGTTGCCCATTTATTTAGATAACATGGATGTTTTGCACAGTGCAATTCACAGGCTAGACAGTTTTATCCAACTGGGAGATAGTAAGGACTGCAGATGCTGGAAGTCAGAGTTGATAAAATGTGGAGCTGGAGGAGCACAGCAGGTCAGGCAGCATCAGAGGAGCAGGAAAATCAACGTTTCGGGTCTGGACTCTTCATCAGTTTTGTCCAACTATGGCCAAAGGAATATTTTTGGGGGTGGAGAGGGGAGAAGTGAGTGGTAAATCTTAGAATCTCAGCAGCAAGGAAAGAACATTTGGAGAAAAATGGATGAGACTTCTTCTTCTCTGTTCACAGGCTGTCTATATGTTTTACGCACTGGCAATAGTTTGTGATGATTTCTTTGTTCCAGCCTTAGAAAAAATATGTGAGGTAAGTTAAAATGCATTTACTTACCTTATTGATAGCACTAGAAATAGAAATGGTACCTGAAATCTATATAAAACATTAAGCATCTGATTATATTAAAGGGAATACAGTGAGAGTATGTTTGCATATTTTACCTAACTAGGGTAAGAGTAAATAGTAGCTGTTTTCATAGATTTGATGAGGTGCGTCAAATGATGCTTGAATTCATGGTTTTGCTGCATGCTTTCAATTTCTTAAGCATGGTATGAAGTTATAGAATACCAAGCCAGTTCCAAGCAAAATCATCAACTGCACCATGGTGTCTCAATAGTCCTAACATAGTGCTGCAAAGAAGATGCGTAAAATCTACATGACACATCAGCTTTTACCTGTAAAGTCCAATTTCAAGGACTACTCAGCCTCAATTTTGCTAATTATCTTTATCTTTAGAAAATACCTCTTACTATGTTCATTAAAAATCACACTTTCTAGTAAAAATATACAAAGAAGGTGCATAACTCCACTGTGAATGACACAAGCAATAACGCAGAGAAATTGAATTAATCACCCATACTCCAGGTGATTGACAATCTAGAGTGAAGCAGGAAATAAACATTATTCATCAGAAGATGACCTAAGTGTTTACTACTGAAGTCAATAGGTGACGGGGGACATACTGAAAAACTTTATTCAAACCGTTCTACATATAAGAGGAGTGGAAATCTTTGACTGGAAGTATATCCAATGTCCTATAATGGCTTATCTTTTTTGCACAGAGATTACATTTGAGTGAAGATGTAGCTGGTGCCACATTCATGGCAGCTGGAAGCTCAGCACCTGAACTGTTTGCTTCTGTTATTGGTAATGTCACACATGATTCACAGTTCATTGATGCTCTTCACTTCATTGAAAGCGCATAATAGTTTTAAGATAAAGTCCAGTAAATTGCTTTAATCTGTAAAGTAATGCACGAATAAACTTTATGAAAATGTCATGGGCGTGGAATTTCCCCACTGCCACTCCCATTGCAACTTCATTAGCGGCATGGTGGAAATTTAGATGTATAATTCCAGTTGAGTAATGGTGATGGAACAAGAGTAACTTCTGGAAATTTCCCCAACATGTTCGAACACCAGTTGTATATTTTGACATGACAGAAGGGCATGGTTAACATTTTCAATATTTCTTAATGCTTAACAACTCCTCTCATTATTTCCCAGTTTTTATGTCCTGACCTTTTCAGAAGGTTTGGCTCATTGGTAGAACTTTGACGACTGAATTTAGTGCAGTCTCTTTGCTAGATTTGAAGGTAGAAAGCACAGGTTAAATCCAGTAAGAGACCAGCCACTACTGCAATTATACCAGAGGTGGCGGAGCCACTGGGTGAATATAATTCTCTTCTTCCCTCCCAGGATTCTTAGACATGCAGGCCTGATATTAATTCCGTGCAAGTGAATGCATTTTGAGTGAAGTAAAATTTTGTCTATGTGCTATTAGTAATCTGCATATTATGAAATTGCTAAAAAAATTATTTGGTTATGTGCACTTGAATAATTAGGTAAGGAAATCATTTTGAAAGCTAAGCAGAGAGCCCTAATAGCTGGTGGTGTCTCAATTGAATGCTATTATAAAACGTGAAACTTTCTTTAATAGTAAGATACAGCAGTGAACAATTTCTGAATCATTCTCAAATAACTCTTAGAAAAGATCACATCATTCACTGTAACCTAAATGCCTGCCACATTTTAAAAATTTGATTCTGTAAAGACTCCTCCATGGAACTAACATTGGGGTCCCTGTCTCTTTGACCAGTAGGAAAGACTACTGTTAACTTTACAAAAATCCCAGCCAAGCACTCAGATCCCCAGAGGAGATGTGATAGTTTGCACTTTTGTCATAATGAAAAGCAGTGAAGCAAATCCAATATAACACAACCTTTTATGTTCATTGCAGGTGTCTTTATCACCCATGGAGATGTCGGCATTGGAACCATTGTTGGTTCAGCAGTATTTAACATACTTTGTATCATTGGCGTCTGTGGGATATTTGGAGGGCAGGTCAGTCCTAACAAAAATACTTCTCTTCAAAATAGCACAGGACATGAAGAAAACCTTAAATTAAAATAAAGAAATGCAGATGTTGTTGATTTGAAGCAAGCAGCAATTTTTGTTTTTCTTCTTAACCTTGTTATCTTGAGTTATTGTTCATTACGGATGTTTCTCAAAATCTATGCACCACAATCCCACTGAGTTCATGTGCACTGGTGCACTCCAATGTCAAATCCCCCAGCGCTAGTGGGATTGATGCAAGGGACCTAATGTAAGTAGCGAAAGGTAGGTGGATGTGTTACAACCCTGTTGTCTGCCAGAAAATCCAATGCCCACCCACCATGGTGAGGACGAAGGTGCAACACTTGCCTGTTCATTTCCACCTTTCTCACTATCCAAGGTCCCAGCCACACCTTCCAGGTGAAGAAGCGAATGACCTGCAGTTAATTCAACTTAGTCTTCTGTATTCACTGCTTATAGTGTTGTCTCCTCTGTACTGTTGGAGTCAAAATACAAACTGGGTGATGAATTCATGGAACACGTACATGCTGTCTGCAAAAATGACCCTAAGCTTCCAGCTGCCTGTCACTTCAACATGCCACCGTGTTCTCTGGCCAATATCTCTGTCTCAGACCTGCTGCAGTGCTCCAACGAGACTCAACACAAGCTGGGAGAAAACCATCTCACCTTTCACTGAGATGCCTTATGGCCTTCAGAATTCAACATTGAGTTTAACAACTTCAGAACATGAATATCCTCCTCCATGTTTGTTACCTATCCCCACACCTTTAATTTCTCTTTTGTGTGTGTTATTCCCAGCACAGCCAACCAGATTGAACCATTTATACTTCTTGTTAGCACCATTAGCACCTGTTCACCATTATCACCCTCTTGGCTGATCAGCAACAATCTCTTTGTCTCTTTCTCTCCCACTCTCTCTGGCCACTGTTTCCGAGTCCTCTATTCACTCCCTCTCCCCTCTACCACTGCTGACATCAGCATAAATATTATCCTTTCCCAACTTCCTTCAGCTCTGACAAAGGGTCGCTGGACTTGAAACATTGACTCTGTTTCTCTCTCCACTCCTGCTGCCAGACCTGCTGAGTTTCTCCAACTTTCTGTTTTTGTTTCAGTTCTCCAGCATCCGCAGTTCTTTGTTTTGTTCGGGTGAGGAAAGAGTTGCCGATACTCCTTAAGTATTGTTACTGTTCTTTCATTTAGCAGTCTTTGCCATGGATTATTTCTTCCTTAACCAATCCTTGTAGAACTGTGCATTATAAAGTGTATTAATTGATACTTGCGTGCTATGCTACTAGCAAATCTGTGTTTAAATGGTACCATTAAAGTAATGAAATATACCAGAGGCAACACTATACATTATTTGACACCAAAATATTAAGGAGGTACTGGGGGCGGATGACCAAAAGCTTGCTTACAGAGGTAGTTTTTTTGAAGGAAAGTGAGGGGGAGAGGTTTTGAAGGGGAACTCCAATGCTTACAGAATCTGGCAGCTGATGGCATGGCCACCAAGGATGAAACAAGTTAAAATCAGGAGTGCTCAGGAGCCTGGAATTAGACGAACAGCGATATCCGAGTGGGTTGTGAGGCTGGAGAGATTATGGAGATAGGGAGAGGTGAGGTTATATAATGGGTTTTTAAAGCAGTTATATAATGGGTTTTTAAAACAAAGATGATTTTGTTTTTAAAATTTAGGCACAACTTAAATGGGAATAAATGTAAGTCAGCGAACACATGGGTGAAAGGAAATCAGTACCAGTTAGGCCAGTGGCAGCAGAGTTTTGGACCACTTTAAATTTCCAGGGAGTAGAATGTGGGACACATTCCAGTTGAATAGTCAAAACTGCAGGTAACTAAGGTATGGATAAGGGTTTCAACAGTAGAAAAACTGAAGTGTGTTTCGAAGTAGCTGATCTTATTGATACTGCAGACATGTTCAACCAACACTTCAGAATGTACAAAGCTAATAGAAGGCTTTACAGGTTAATCTATTTGTTCACAATTACAGTAATGCAGAAAAAAAATGAAGCATAACCTATATTAGCCATACTAAATTGGTGCATTAATCCATCTGATTAAATGGGCAAAACCCACAAGGGATAAAGTACCTGATTGAATAATTCCTCCAGATAATTTGACAGCACGCTTTAAAAATAAATTCTCCTAATGGGTAAATATTACCCAGTTTTGTCTTTGTTAATCTCTTTCACTTTTGCTACTTCAAGCATAATGTGCACAGCATTACCCTTAATATTACAGAATTCCTTTTTCCCACTTAACCTTGGAATTTAGAGTCATAGAGTCATACAGCATGGAAACAGATCCTTTGGTCCAACAAGTCCACACCGACCATGTTCGCAAACTAAACTAGTCCCACCTGCCTGCGTTTAGCCCAAATCCCTCCAAAGTTTTCCTATTCATGAACTTATCCAAATGTCTCTAAATGTTGTAACTGTACCCGCATTCATCACTTTGCCTGGCAGTCATTCTACATGTGAACCATTCTCGATGTAAAAAAAAAGTTGCCCTGCATATCCTTTTCAAATCTTTCTCCTCTCACCTTAAAAATATGCCCCCTAGTTTTGAACTCCCCCACCCTAGGAAAAAAACCATTGTGATTTACCTTATCTATGCCCCTTATGATATTTATAAACTTGAATAAGGTTACCCCTCAATCTCCAACACTCCAGTGAAAAAAGTTCCACCCTTTCCAGTCTATTTTTATAATTCAAACCCTCCATTCCCAGCAACATTCCGGTAAATCTTGTTAACTACTACTAATTAACTGTAGCAATATAGTAACATCCCATAAACACACCCTTGGCAAAGGCATATTCAGTAAAATAGATTGTCTCACATGCAATTCTATCAACAAGAAGAGAACCCCAGCTTTTAGCTGTAACAGAGAGAAGAATAAGAGCTTCCACATCCAACTTCAAGAGCCCAGCAACTGCAGGAAGCCAAAACTAAAAAGTTCTGGTTCTCCGGAAGCTTGACCCCACCCATTTAGGCTGCTTCTATTGTTCTTTTTTTAATCTCTGGTTGCATGTCAGGAAAGTTTGATTTGATTTGATTTATTATTGTGACATGTACTGGAAACAGTGAAAAGTATTGTTTTGCATGCTAAACAGATAAGTCATACCTTACATTAGTACATCAGGGTAATATGCAGAATATAGTGTTGTACCTTTTCTATCGCTGTAACACTGTATTCTACATCTTGTTATATTCCCCTGAAGCACTTACATAAGGTATAATTTGTCTGGTTAGTACGCAAAACAATAGTTTTCATTGTATGTCAGTACATATGTCAATAATAAATCAAATCAAAACAAACTTGCCAGACATGTTCATCCAGCGATAAAGAAATCCTATTATTTATATCCAAGAGGCCAGTTCTAATTCAAAAATCAAATCACTCAAACCTTTCAAACTCTGAAAGAGAAAGATAGGATTATAGAATCCCTGCAGTGTGGAAGTATGCCATTCGGCCCATTGATTCCACACTGACTCTCCAAAGAGCATCCTGCCCAGATCACCATCAATCCTGAGGAGCCACCTTTTGCTGCTGTGCCGATTCACTTTCACTACTACCTGCGTCAGACACACCAATGTCAGAGGCTATTGCTGTGGTCATTGCTGCCAGGGCGCCCACCACTTCACTGCCACCAGCATCACAGCCGGCCAAAGACAAAGTCACCAATCCTCAATGATATCAGACACATAATTAAAATAATGAGATCACTATTATATTTGTTTGCTAATCGCTCTTGTCACAATGATCTTTATTCTTTCTATATGTGAAACATGAACAATAGAGAAGTATGCACTCCAGAAATGTCCTTCCTGGCAAACTAATACATCACAACCCTTCTGATTAGCGGGTACCTCTGGTGGCAGACTGAGCAGTGGGATTGGTGTGACTCTGCCAGCTGATTGTGAAATGATTGACATTGAGAGAAAACAATAAAATAACATAATAATAAAAGAGAAATACAGGGACATACAGGTAAGAAGATTGAGTGTAATCTGTAGCTGGTTTACTGATGAAGCATCTTCTGTTGTTTGTTTTCCTGCATAGCTGTGGACCATTTAGAACATTGAATACTAATCTCTCACATGGTATTAGGATTGAAAGTGCTGAAGGCATTGAATACACATTTGATAACCAGAGGAACAAAATGTGAAAGTTTCTATTGAGAAATCCTGGCTTTTTTTTTCTCATAGCTTCATTTTATTTTTTACAGATCGTATACCTGACGCAGTGGTCGGTGTTTAGGGATTCATTATACTACACCATATCAGTGATCCTACTCATTGTGGTAAGTGGTACTTAAGGCCCTCCTCCCACCACTATTGGGCTTTTGCCCAGGATAGGGAAGTCAGCTTCAATGTCATGGTCTTGTTCCAGTGCAGACACTGAAACAAATGACCGCCTTCTGCATTGTAATAATTCTGTGATTCTAAGAGGAGATGCCTACATTGTTTCCAGTGGACGCTTCCTGCCAGATATATCCCCTTGTCATTTCCCCCCTTTCCTGCACTGCTGACCCTAACCTCCCAAGCCAAGGGCCTGGCAGCCTGGCCCCAACGAGACCTTTGACTTACCTGCATTCGGATTCCCACAGATTGGCTGTAACCCCAGAAGTGGCTACCATTTAACTGGTCAGCAGCTTTTGGAGATGGAATTTTCTTGCTGGAAGGGGCAGGAATCATGCCCAGAACCGGTCGTAAAATGACTGCTGGCCAATTCTGTCAAGCAGAGGTCGTCTGGTCCCGGTCTTCGACTTTTAAATGGGAAGACAGTACTACTACCACCCCATGTAAAATGCAACCTAAAAACCTACTGACCAGGAAAATAGGGGGGTGACAAATGACCTCAGTGTTGAGACTGGAGGATGGAGGTCTAATTCAAAGGTTCTACCAGAAATTTGTCCAGTTCTGACAAACACCTATGCAGGTCAATTGGTAGCCTCTCTGATTTAATGGATGTGCAAAATAGATCAAATTCCACAAGAAAAAACATGCATATTGAATTTTATCAGAAAATCTTTGTCTATCAGCTTCGCAAGTCTTTACTAAGTTCTAAACAAGCAATAAATGATGACAATTTACATCAGGTTGCATGTGTTTTTTTTAATAGAATGGTCTGCAAGCATTCATGTATCATTGAAATTCTCATTGTTCTATGCTATCTCCTTAAACATAATTTGGTAAGATTTTAAGAGTCCATCATTAAGGATGAGATTGTTGATTACTTGGAAGTGCATGGTTAAATAGGGCTGCGTCAGCATGGCTTCATCAAGGGGAGATCACGCCTGACAAATCTGTTAGAATTCTTTGAGGAGGTAATAAGCGAGTTAGACAAAGGAGAGCCAGTGGATGTTCTTTATTCATTCACAGGACGAGGGCATTGCTGGCTAGACAGCATTTATTGCCCATCCCTAATTGCCCAGAGGGCAGTTAAGAGTCAACCACATTGCTGTGGGTCTGGAGTCACATGTAGGCCAGACCAGGTAATGACGGCAGTTTTCTTCCATAAAGGACATTAGTGAACCAGACGGGTTTTTCCAACAATTGACAATGGATTCATGGTCATCATTAGATTCTTAATTCCAGATATTTATTGAATTCAAATTCCACCATCTGCCGTGGTGGGATTTGAACCCAGGTGCCCAGAACGTGATCTGGGTCTCTGGATTAACAGTCCAGCGATAATACCACTAGGTCATTGCCTCCCCAATAAGTGATCTACTTGGATTTCCAGAAGGCCTTTGACAAGGTGCTGCATGGAGGGCTGCTAAATGAGCTAAGACCCCATTGTGTTAGGACAAGGTACTCGCATGGATAAAGGATTGACTGACTAGCCGAAGGCAGGGAGTATGGATAAAGGGGTCGTTTCAGGTTGGTAGCCAATGACTAGTGCAGTTCCACAGGGGTAAGTGTTGGGATCACAACTATTCATGTTATACATTAATGATCTGGATGAAAAAACTGATGGCATTGTTGCTAAGTTTGCAGATGACACAAAGATATTTGGAGATACAGGTAGTGTTGAGAATGCGGGGAGGCTGCAGAAGGACTTGGATAGGCTAGGACAGTGGGCAAAGAAGTGGCAGATGGAATACAATGTGGGAAAGTGTGAGGTTATGCACCTCGATAGGAAGAATAGAGGCTTAGACTATTTTATAAATGGGAAAAGGCTTTGGAAATCTTAAGCAGAAATGGACTTAAGAGTTCTAGGTCAGGATTTTCTTAAGGTTAACATGCAGGTTAAATTAGGAAAGCAAATACAATGTTTGCATTTATTTTGAGAGGGCTAGAATATACAAGCAGGGATGAGGCTGTATAAGGCACTGGTCAGACCACACTTGGAATAATGTGAGCAATTTTGGGCCCCGTATCTAAGGAAGGATGTGCTGGTGTTGGATGGAATCCAGAGAAGGCTTACAAGAATGATACCATGGATGAAGGACTTGTCATATGAGGAGCAGTTGAGCACTCTGGGTCTGTACTCACATAGAGTTTAGAAGAATGAGGGTGAGATCAGGTTGAAACTTACAGAATACTGAGATGTCTAGATATGGTCATGAAGACACAAGAAGGAGAGACTAGGACTCAAGGGCACAGTCTCGGAGTGAAGGGACAACCTTTTACAATTGAGACGAGGAGGAATTTCTTCAGCCAGATGGTGGTTAATATGTGGAACCCATTGCCATAGTGGGCTGTGGAGACCAAGTCATTGAGTGTACTGAAGACAGGTATATGTAGGTAGGTTCTTGATTGGTACGGGCTTCAAGGATAATGGGGAGGAGGCAGGAGAGAAACATATCAGCTGTGATTGAATAGTGGATCAGACTTGATTGGCTAAATGACTTAATTCTGCTCCAATATCTTACGGTCTTATAAAAGTGCGTCCCAATAACCATAGTGACTAGAATTAACACATTTGTGTAGGTGAAGAATAGGAGGATTCCTTACTTGCTCTTGGAAACTAACATTTTGTCTATTTCAAATTTGATGAGTTTGGGAGCGGGTGTTCTCCACAAAGTTGTTGACAGAAAATAAACTGTGCAACAGAGAAAGGAACAAATGGCAAGAAAATTGCCGATCTTATATGAATATAAATTCTTGTGCAATCAATCCAGTGAGGTTTTGGATAACTGTATCTGTAAAGCTGTTTCCTAAAATGGATGCTATACTGTTATAAACCAAAAAATTGTGGATGCTGGAAATCTGAAGCAAGAACAGAAATTGCTGGTGAAACTCAGCAGGTCTGGCAGCATTTGTGCGGAGAAAGCAGAGTTAACATTTCTAGTTCAGTGACTCTTCCTCAGAACTGGTATTTGGCTTCAGGCCAGAGCTGCAAATTGATTTCTTGACTGCAATAATAAAAAGAAAAATACTTACCCTTAAATGAAATCTCTTCTCTGGAAGAAATGTCAAAGGGCAGTTATTGACTGGCGTAAAAACAGAATATGTTGGAAATATTTGGCTGCAGGTGGCCATGTCTATGAAGAGAGAAACAGAGTTAACTTGTTTCAGGTTCATGACCATTCAGTAATGCTCCATACACTGATTACAGCTTAATATGCTGAGTGTTTCCACTACTTGTGTTTTTAGATCCACTTTCCAGCATCCAGAATATTTTGATTTTGTTTCACTCTTAACCAACTAACATTTTGTTAGCTTTTACAGTACTCAGCGGGCATGTGCTCTAGGCCCTCATTCTCATGAAGCAACACTGTCCCTTTATTCTGTTTATTCTTTTTCATTTCTCCACCACCCCTTCATCCCTTGAAGGTTTGGATTCCGTAAGAGGTTAATTCTGTGGACACGATGAATATCCTTGGATGCAAGTAGTTATTCTTGCGGATATTAAGTGTACATAAGGGGTTTTGCATGTGGGAACACCACAGCTAAATGCAACCCTGTTGCAAGACAACAATCACAGATTTATCAGTGTGGAGCTGGAGGAACACAGCAGGCCAGACATTATCAGAGGAGCAGGAAAGTTGACGTTTCGGGTCAGGACTTTTCCCCATTTCTGAAGAAAGGTCCTGACCCAAAACGTCAACTTTCCTGCTCCTCTGATGCTGTCTGGCCTGCTGTGTTCCTCCAGCTCCACACTGTGTTATCTCTGACTCGAGCATCGGCAGTTCTTACTATCTCTCAATCACAGATTTATGAAGTCTGCCTCAAAACTGCCAGCCAGCTTGATTTTTCCTGTGTCTTGGTTGGACTGATTATAGGTTTCCCCACCACAGTTCACTCAGCATTGACAAAGCATAAAGTTTGGACTTTCATTAATCAGCATGACTGACTGATTCATTGTGGAACATCATTAAATCACAAGGGAGTCAGCCATTGATCTAAGATGTTAAGAAAGGTAATAATTTCTATTAATTTCAAAATAAACTATAGTTTATTTCACTTCCAAAGTTTCAGTTCCTACACTGAACTGTACTTTCAGTTTCAAAGAAGAGTCAAAAGAACAAAAGAGAAGTACAGCACAGGGACAGGCCCTTCGGCCCTCCAAGCCTGTGCTGATCATCATGCCCTGAATAAACTAAAAAAACAAACTTCTGCCCCTATTTAGTCCGTGCCCCTCTATTCCCTCCCTATTCTTGTATCCATCCAGATGCCTCATAAATATTGCCAATGTGCCTGCTTCCACCATCTCCTCTGGCAGTGCATTCCAGGCTACAACCACTCTCTGTGTGAAAAACTTTCCTTGCACATCTTCCTTAAACTTTCCCCTCTCACCTTGAACCTGTGCCCCCTTGTAATTGAAACTTCAACCCTGGGAAAAAGCCTCTGACTATCCACCCTATCTATGCCTCTAATAATTTTGTAGACTTCTATCAGATCTCCTCTCGGCCGCCATCTTTCCAGTGAAAACAATCCTAATCTTTTCAACCTTTCCTCATAGCCAATGCCCTTGAGACCAGGCAACATTCTGATGATCCTTCTCTGCACTCTCTCCAAAGCTTCCCCATCCTTCTGGTAATGTGGCAACCAAAACTGCACACAATACTCCAAATGCAGCACAACAAGGATTTTATATAGCAGCAACACGTTTTGCCAACTGTTGTGCTCAATGTGCTGGGCGATGAAGGGAAGCATGCCATATGCCTTCTTAATCACTTTGGCCACCTATGTTGCCACTTTTAGGGAACTGTGGACCTGCACACCCAGATCCACATGAATGTTAATATTCCTAAGGATTGTGTCATTAGCAATATAATCCACACCTAAGTTTGATCCTCTAAAATGCATCACCTCACATTTGTCTGGATTAAACTCCATCTGCCATTTCTGT